GACCGGTCGTAGGGCCGGCACTGCGTCGGTCCGGACCGGCGCCGAGTGCTGATGTGTTTTGTGTTCGCAGTCGGCGCGGAAGCGCGAGGGTCGCGGCCGGGCGCTACTGTCGCTGATCGAGCTGTTCGAGCAGGACTTTGACCTGTTCGAGCTGGAGCCAGCCTCCTATGACCAGATCATGGCCAACTTCGGCAAATCCGGCATGCAGCAGGTGAGACCGGCTGGGGCCGGTGGCGCGCGCTGGAACGGGCCTGGGCACAGCTCGGCACCACTCGCGCATCCAGAACCATTGTTGATAGCGCATGATTGTCTGTCTCATCGTGTTTAGCTGTCCGTTCTTGAGTAAGACGCGGTAGGCTTGCGCATGTTAAGATGCACGAACTTTTCATGTCTTACACATGGGACGTTCTATTGCGTGTTTCTTCATGAGTTATAATTAAGGTGCTTTGAATCAACACGGTTTCACATGACTTCAGCTGCCCCAGGTTTGAATCAAAGTCCAGACAAAATGCACCCGAACTTGTGGATGTAACAGTTATTAGTGAGCTGAACAGAAAATGTTTCCTTTAAATGGCAAATTTGGAAAAATGGCTAACAAATAGCTGAGCTTGTTTATATTGGTGTGACACGCTGAGTACCTGTTGGTGGTATCAGCTCCTGCAAAAGGTAAGTGTCGTCCGTCATTAGTGATAGGATAGTAAGCGTGCTTTTTCTCAATCGGCATTCGTTCGGAACTCTCAAGCAGTACCTGGTTTCGATAATATTTGAAGGCTTATGTTGTGTTTAACGCCTTCCGGCGTGATTTATTTATTTTGTTTTGCTTTTTTGGGTAGTGTAACCAACTAACAGGCTTTAGCGCATGTGGCTCGAAGTTGATCTCAAGTGATTCCTTGGGCCGCTGAAATAAGTAAAGGTCATCTAGAGGACAAGCTTGCAAAGTATTTTCGACAGGTCAATATCATAACGTTCGCCTTGGGAAAAGCTTGGTCATTGTGCATGCTCAAGTTATGGTTATTCGAAGAGTCGCCACTTAGGCTGTGATGCGGGCTGAATATCATTCAAATTATCAGCTTGCCAAGGGCTTTTGCTGAGAATGTGTTTGGGTGGTGTACCATCATTGGACTGCTGCGGCGCCGACTCATTGGAACAAGGCAATATTCGCTTAGTGTATCGCACAATAGCACTGATACAGGTGTACGCGCCAGTCCTCAGCAGGTTCCTTGCACTAAACTGCGAGCTATGAGCTTGCCGGGTCTGATCTGCATTAGAAGTGTATCATATGCCGGCAACCCGATCGCATACAGCATTAACATTACTTACATATTGTTGTCGTTCGATTTGTTCGTCATTCAGGTAGCAAGGTCAGCCTCTGACACTCCTATAGCAGTGCCAATAATCGAATGTGAATATGTTTGACTGGAGGGAAGTGGAGAAGCATCGTCTTGAGCGCGGCGTTGGGGTCGAAGAGGGTCGAATTTTGGCGAGGGAATGCATGAAATCGCGCTACCAAAGTACCCTGCTGACCGCCGCGCGCTAATTTGAGCTGTCCATGAACTGCCACCTTGCCAAGACATCCATGGTAGGCAGTTGTTACGCGCTCACTGAACTTATTTTTGTCCAAAGTCTATGCGGAAGAGAATCGCAGCTAAGCGTAAAGCGTAGTGGAATATGACGTCATCAGATGGTCTGCATTGTTCACCGAAATGCGTTACTTTTATTAGCGAGGCTTGGGAAGGCCTGTCTTCTAGCCATGAAATAGGCAGCATTTGTCTGAAGGGGACATATATCCACCATACACTGTGTTGCAAACATCAAGGCGCACCCTCAGCACAATTGCGAACAGTTGGGTCTTCGAATGGAATAACAACAACGAATGATGACAATAAGAACGTGGATCGAGTGTGTGATTTAATAACATCACGTAGTTGGTCCAATGGTTTTGAGTCACAGAAGAAGAAGATGAGCTTCATTAATCTAACATGGAAGACGGTGAACAACGCGAAGCATTTCAATAGATTCACCATTGAACTACCAACTATGCCATTCAATCGTACCCATTTCTGTGATTTGTTGTGTTAACTGAAAACCCGTACATCCGAGTTTTGTGAAGAACATAATGCTGACATCACTAAATTAAATAAGGTTGATCCGATTGGAGTTCGCGTTTTCCCCCTTAGGTCGTCGTTGGACTTAAAGCTTAGAGCAATCTGTTTTCTGATGAAAAGAACTTCAGGGATAAGTTAGAACCACCTGTGTATGATCCTTCGCGAGCTAGGATATAAGCCACTAGGGCTTAGCACGTGAAGTGTTAAGAGGCTTCAGGGGCAGGGCTGGTTAGGGCTATCTCCAAAACAGTTCAGCTGGCTTTTCAGGACTGACCTGGTAACAACTGTCATGACAAGAACTGTGACCACAAGGGCATGCACATACATAAAACTATTGCCCGTGTTTGTAGACCCTGATTATCGGCTGGTGTGAGGACTGAGCTTAACCCCGTATTAGCACTAGGCTAAGTTATATCATCGCGGTTTAAAAAAATGTCTACCTTGTGAAGGACTGCGCGTCGCGCAAGCAGTGTCGTCTGGTTTAGCTATAGGTAACGCTTTGGATTGAGCTCTTACTGGAAATCCTTTCCGATCCGTGCAGGGAACGTCTCAGACCCAACGAGGACGACCTAACCGAGGAGCTGCAGACGACGAGGTCAAGATGCGGGTCAAGTGGACCAGCACCCCGATCCAGTTCGAACGTCAAAGTGACGACCAACAACGAGGGCGAGCTTGTCAGCGGTCCGACCTACTACGTGAGTGCCCCATCGGGACGTCGTGACTTGCCGCTCCCGCGTGTTGGAGATGAACGTGGTCAATGCCTGATGGAGATCGACGCTGGTCTGAATCGTTGTCCAGCATCCGTGGTCTTGCCAGCTTGCCGGCCCCTGTCCAGCTGTGAGCGGCGGCCAGTAGACGTGCGCGTCGGCGCCACACCTCCTCCTGTGTGCGCCCCCTAGGGACTACATGCGGGGGGTGGGCCGGTGCGGACATCGGCGGAGGACGAGGAGAACATGGAGGACCGTGCGACCAGAGGCAGCGCATCTGACTCAACAAGTTCCCTCTGGGCGCCGCTGGATACCGGTGCAGCAGTCAGAGTCCTACCGAGAGCCGTCACTAGCAGTCCTTTGGGTCGCGAACCGACTCTCCAGCGGCTCCTGCAGAGGTCATGTCGCAATTGTCGCCCTTGAATTATGTTTGGACTACGCAGTCTTGTTCCATTGGTGGCAATTGGGTTAGCAAGCATTGCGCGACCCAAGCATCAGTTAATGACTAGTCAGATTTGTTGCAAATTACGATAGCTTTACCCGCCCTCGCCGCACACATCTCATCAGGTCCTTGTTTGCTGACGCTGCTAGATCTCAGCCGCGTTGTGTGCCGAGGCTGCTGATGCTTCACTGTAGTGTATGCTGATGCTGCTGACACTCGGCTGCAGTGTATGCTGAGGCTGCTGGCCCTCGGCTGCAGTGTATGCTGATGCTGCCGACCATCCGCTGCTGCATTGCTAAGGCTCCTGACCCTTGGCTGCTGTGTGTGCTGATGCTGCTGACCCTTCACTACAACGTATGCTGACGCTGCTGACCCTCGGCTGCAGTGTATGCTGATGCTGTTGGAGGAGGAGCGGGCCCGCACGGCCCAGCCGGACAGCAAGTCATCGGCTGGCCACCTCAACTTCACCAGCGCCTCGGTCCGGCTCGGGGACGGTATAAAGGAGCTGCTGGCCGGCCGGTCGGTCTCCCACCTCAGCTTCTGCGACACGGACAACAAGCTGCTGGTCACGGCACACCGGGCACGGGCGGCCGCCGGTGGGGACTCCGCCGCGGCGGCGGCGCAGAAGACGGCAGACAAGCCGGACGAGGAGACGGCGCAGAAGACGGAAGACAAGGGGTCCGCCGACGCGGAGGTGATAGCTCCCACGAAGCGGCGGGCGTCGGGGCGCCGGCCGGTGTGGGCCGTGTCCGAGTCCGGGCCGTTTTTTCAGTAGTCTTAGGCTAACGAGGTGGCTTGTATTTTTCGTTCAGCAAGCTGTCATCGCAGATGAATTGGGAAATTAACCTGATGCCCTTTGAAAACATCACACACTCTGCAGGTGTCTATTTCATTCCCGAAGGCTTCATCCACCCGCGGAAAACTTAAACCGGTGGCCTGCTCCACTTCCCGAGGGTGTGTGAGTGGGCAGTAGCGTGTGATGTGCGTACGGCCCTTCTGTGACCACACTCACCATCGACTTGCTGTTCCCCAGGAGCCGGGAGTGGACCAGTACGGCTTGCTATGTGTGTGGTCGGTGAATGAGCCGTCGCAGCCGCAGAAGGTGCTGATCACCTCCTCCCAGCCGGTCTGCTGCTGCTTCTCGCCCGTCAAGCCTCGCCTGGCGTTCGCCGGGTGAGAGTTGTCTGCCACTCGACGGCGTCAGAGGGTGGGACTTCGCTGTTAGTCAGTTTAGTTCAGTTTTGTTCAGCACCAAGTTGGACACACCATCTTAGTGGGAGGCCACCACATACCGGTGTACTTAATACGATCGGGAAGGGATGGGGAACGGTAAAAGTGTAACCCTGAATAATTATTCAAGTGCAACTCGTTGTGATTAAATGGTTCGTTTATATTTCGTCGAATCCGTGACCTTGTCGTTGTATTGTTGTATTTTCCCATTCTGCTGCGAGGTGTCTCTGACATGTTTGGTGGCGCCGCCAGATGGCTTGGCGTGCGCTGGATTTATATAATGTAGTTCATTTTGGCGATTCCCTGCGCCAACCTTATGTGTCCTTTCGTGTGACTGTCGCATGGTCTGCGTCTCCCATCTGTACCGACCTGTCCGCATGACCGCCGACCCCACGCCACTCACGGGTAGTCCTGACCTTCACCTCTCACGTAGTCCCCACCTCTGGCACCTGGCCTTTGTCTCTGACTCCTCTGACCTCTGGTCATCATGCCAGTCCCATGACCTTCGCCCCTGAGTCGTGACCACCATTGACCTGACCTACTCGGGTCCCCTGTTAACACATCTGGCCCATAACCCGTACCCATGACCCCTGACATTCACCAAGGCTGTTTCGGGTCAGGGGTTAGAGGTGAGATGTCACCAGTAATATTTGACTTTGATTTGCAGTTCTTGACCTTCATATGTGACTTATGACCTTAACGTTGCGCCCTTGACATTCAGTCTAGCCGTGACCGGCTCCGGCTCCTGGCCTTCACATCTGGCCTGGCCAACGGGCCTTAACCTGAGCGCGTGGACAGATGCGCTGACGGGCCTTGACCTGAACACGTGGGCAGGTGCTCGGACAGACCTTAACTTGAACGCGTGGCCAGGTGCACCGACGGCTCGCTGGACGTGTGGGACCTGCACGAGCCGGCCTCGGAGCATACGGGCCCACGGCGGCCGGCCGCCGGCGCCGCGCTTCGCTCGCCCACCTACAGCACGGCCGAGATCCACCGGGCCGAGGCGCACACCGACCCGGTGGTGGCGCTGCGGCCGGTGCCCGTCGGCAGTGGCGAGGCCGAGGAGGCCGGCGTCGAGCCCGGCTCATTCCAGGTACGGCGGCGGCGTGTCTGGACGGCGAGGCCACCGCGTCAGGCGGCTGGCGTGCGGTGTCAAGCCGCTTCAAGGTGCGTACTGGTGGATAGTTAATAGAGTCGATAGAGCCGCAGTGCTGGTGGACTGCTTCTGTCCACCAGCACTGTGGCTCTCTTCGGCGGAGGACGACGTGGCTGCGTGACTCCGTCGGTCGCAACGGGGTGGACCCAGCCAGACAGCAGACTGACCCGCTCTGGTCCGGTCAGCTGCGACTACTCCGGCCCGAGACAGACGTGTGTGCAGACGTCCGCACTGGGCAGGGCCTGCCGAGCGGCTCAGTGACACGCCGCGGCTGCCGAAGCTGTGGCTGCTCTGTGTGCTGTGTGTTGGTCGGTGCTGACCTGTCTGACGGGCTCAGACGCTGAGAGTGGGGCGTGCCGTGTGGTGTGTGTCGGTCGGTACTGACCTCTCTGACCCAGCTGTGTTGGTCGGTGCTGACCTGTCTGACGGGCTCAGACGCTGAGAGTGGGGCGCGCCGTGTGGTGTGTGTCGGCCGGTGTCGACCTCTCTGACCGGCTGGGACGCTGAGTGGGACGTGTTGTATGGTATGTTTGTAGGTCGGTGTCGACCTCTCTGACCGGCTCGGACGCTGACAGTGGGGCGTGTTGTGTGGTATGTTTGTAGGTCGATGCCGACCTGTCTGACCGACTCGGGCGCTGTGAGTGGGGCGTGCCGTGTGGTGTGTGTCGGTCGGTGTCGACCCGTCTGACCCAGCTGTCTCGGTCGGTGCCGACCTCTCTGACCGGCTCAGACGCTGACAATGGGGCGTGTTGTGTGGTGTGTCAGTCGGTGTAGAACTCCCTGACCGGCTCGGGCGCTGAGAGTGGGGCGCGTTGCTGGCAGATGTGTAGCCTGGACGCGGCCGGCCGGCTCGTCTTCTGGGTGGCAATGAGCGCGCGGCAGCAGGCCAACCTCGAGGTTCTGGACGGCGACCTTGGAATGGCGCCCTGGGGAAGGGTCAAGCTGGTCAAGATCAGCCACGTCACCGTCGACGACTTCCTGGATGCGTTAGTCAAACTGACATTCTATTTGTTTGCGTTTGGCGGAGGGGAGGTGTATGTTTCTCGTCCTTGTTTCTGTTTGTGTGTCTAACGTGTACCAGTATCGGGCCAGCGTGCGTTCTGAACTTACGTTTGTCTGCGCAGTTAACTCAAATTAAAAGATAACCTCGAATTAAAATATGTGTTAAGTTCCGTTCGGCAACAGTAGTGACGTGTCGACAGGAGCAGCCAGAAGACGTTCACGGAAGTGCACGACTTCCGCATCCATCCGACCGACCCTAGCCACATATATGTGAGCACGGACAGCGGCACAATTATCCACTGTACACGCCAAGGCATCAGGGCTACGCCACGCATGTTCCGTCCAGAAATAGGTGAGACAGGAGCGCTGGATGGCAGAGTGCACTCCGTCTGGCTAACTGGCTAGCACAGTCATGTAGGTAGTAAGTGCAGTGAATTCTTCAGTCACTTGTGCGAGTAAGTAGGTACAGTAAGTTCTTCAGTCAGCCGTACGCTGAGCAATTCCTTGTACCGCTGTTCCTTGCACCGGAGGGTCTGCGGCACCGAGTCATGCGGGGTGTTCTGACCCGTCGTACTCAGCGTGTCCCGGCCGAGCGTGCTCCTGCTGGGCCTGCCGGCGCCTGCCGCCCCCCGTGTGCTGCAGCGTACGGCGTCCGTGTTGCAGACCTGTCGGTGCCGGTGCAGTGCCTGGCGTTCTGCCCGTTCGACCAGCCGTACCTGCTGGCTGGCGGTGCGGACGGCTCGCTGCGGCTGCACACCACCTCGGGCGACCGGCCCCTCATCACCTGGAACAACGCGACGGCCGGCGCGCCCGTGCTGGCGCTCGGCTGGTCTCGCTCGCGGCCCTGCGTCTTCTTCGTGCTCGACGCCGACTCAAAGTGAGCCGGCGGCTGCGCTGCGCCGTGCCCAGCTGGCGCCGCCGGTTCCGTTAGCGGGGACACGCATGCGGCGGGCCCGCTGCCGCCAGAATGCAGCACAGTCTGCCAGTCGGATGCTGCGTGTAGAGGCATGGAAAGAGGAGTCCTTGCTTTGGCATCATTCATGTCGAGGGAAGCTGTCTCACACCTCGCGTGGCCTGTCAGCGCTAGCGACGATTAGCTTTCCACTACATCAGCGGGGATTATTGCGGCTTCGTCTGCCCCGCCTGCGCCTCCAAGGTAATTGTTATATCACCCCACACATATCCCAACCGAGCAGCGGCAGGCCGTGGGTGCGGCGCGATGACGCCTGTCGCCGCGTGACCCAACGCCGAGCAACCCGTGCGTGCGCTCCATGCTGCAGGATCCACGTGTGGGACCTGAGCGCCGGCGACATATTCCCGGCCGAGACGGACGAGGTCAAGTCGGGCCAGGTCACCGCCATGGACCTCAGCTACGGCGCGGAGGGCGACAAGCCCGTCACCCACCTGGTAGGTTGAGCGCCGGCGGCCAGCGGACGTCGGTCGGCTCCCGGCAAATGCTCGGGTGGCTGCGACCAGTGTGTCATTTAAAGAAGATTTCTCGCTTGGCTGTCACTTTGTCGCTTAAATTGGTCACTTGGCCGCCGGTGGGTGTCATCAGCTGCCTCCACTACAATCGAGGTTGTGTTCCGTGCTGGTCAGTCCCTGCTCCGCGTGGCTAATGGGTACCCACTGGGGTCCGTCACGCGGCCAGCCTTCCAAAAGGCGGTTGAAAGCGGTTTGCTAACAGTGAAAGGAATCAAAATACTTTGAGCGAGAGAGGAAAACTGCTCACACGATCTTATCGGAGATTACTCTTTACACTGCGGGTAAATTATTGGTGTTTCTGTAGCTCAGTTGCATACACCAATAAATGTACAGATTATGAGAAAAAACATATTCTGAATAATCAAACACAAACGGCCTGATATTTAGCTGTCCCGTACATTGTATCTGAGTATGTATGTTCGTGATATGACGCGCACCATGACACGGTGGACAGTGCGAATGAACATGGATAGACTTAAAGTGATGTTTAACGCCTGGAAAGGCTTGCTAATTCAGCTTCAGGTGGTCAAGTAATACAAGGGGCTTACTTAGGACGTCTGTAGACGTGGAAAGACAGCGGGATAGTAGTGTCGTTGCGCTTAGCCAGTTGAGATGCCTGCCGGGAGTGAGGAGAGGCACAGAATGAGAAGTAAACTCGCCCCGTTGTGAAAATGTTAAGTGCTGTAGCAGCAAGAAAACGTTTTGTTTTTTTTAAATGTTGGTAACTCGTCTCCCTCCAAAACATGGCAGTCTGACTTTGTATGTAAGTAGTGATACAATCTGTACTGTCCAGCGTCTGTATGGGAGGTTTTGACTGCCGGTGTCTGCCGGCCTGGCCTGCGGACGCGCTGGTGTCACCGGTCCCTGTCGCAGGCCGTGTGCACGGACGCCGGCACTGTTGAGGTACACAGGATCTCGGAGACCTACACCAGCGCCACGGACGAGGCGGCAAGCACCGAGATGGAGCAGTTCCTGCACTACGTCCAGATCATATGAGATGGTCGGAGCGGGACGGAACCGCAGCGGCGCGGACGCCGCCCAGCGGACGTGCGAGGGCGGCGGCTCGAAGCGGGTCGCCGACGATTCGCCGCGGTCGCCTCGCGTGTGCTGGGCGCGCACCCGGCTAGCGCACCTTTATACGCCCGCAGCAGCCGCTGCTGACCGCAGCACACTCGGGCCGTCCGTCGGCTTTGGCTGTTGTAGAAGTGTGTAAACCGTCGACGGGGGTGAGACGTTGCCGATTTGCGTGAGATTTATGCCGGGTGCCTGGACTTGGAGGACGCGAGACCTCCACTGCAGTCTGGGGCCAGAGAGACGCGCTGGATTGGCTCACATGCAGGCAGGCAGAGTCTCAAGCAGGTGATGTCGTTCTTTCACGGGGAAGTGGGAAAACAGCGATATTGCTGCTGGCCGAAGCTACAATCAAGCTGTAAACAGCGTTTTATTTGCTGACACGATGCGTAATCGTCAATGCAAAGGTCTAAACGTTTCACACATGATCTCTCCGTCCAATGCGATCGTGGCCTTAAATACATTACACGTGGGCGCGCTGACCCAGTTCAGTGTTTCGTAGGCACCCTCGATGGCACGCTATAGAACGCTGTGGTATACACCCCTGTCCTAGTCACATTTGTTCATTGTTTCTTTCCGCCAGATCCCGGAAAAATGTGGGTTGCGTAGATAGAATACCATCCCTGATATCTGGTAAGCATTATGTGGTATCAGTAGTCTATTTGCGCGTGCTTGCCGTGTGTTTACCTGACGTCCGTATGAAGATGCAATCACCGTTCAGCTGCTGTGATCTCACTGCAACTAGTCCGTCCTGCGCTCACGGGCCTGACCGTATATTACATGTGTCTCATTTTGATGGACCGTCGCCGGTCTGACCGTTGTTACAGCACATCTCTACCGCCAGCGGCGTAGATACGTTAATGTATATGTATATATTTTCAAATACACTTGATGCCAATGACGATTTTGTTGGTAACGCAAGCTGATAAAAACCGTATGTGGTGGGCTCTGAAGGCCGATGCGTTGAACGCAGAAGTTGAGAAAAAACATGCTCGTTTTCAGGGTACCCAGTTTGCGTACGATGACAGATTTGTTACTGCTTCGACTAGCACCCTGCTCCTCCACTACACACCATTACCATTAGAGCTACCGAGAAGCACGGAGCTTAGCCGCGTCTGCCAGCGGTGGGGAGGCAGCGGCAGAACTCGGGCGGGAGCTGTGACGGCCACCGCCGCGGGCCGCGCCCCGCCCATGCTGCGGCGGGGTTCCAGACTTGGCCGTCGCCCTCCTCAGCCGCGGATCGTCAGATCGCGTCGGGCCGCCTGCGGCTCCAGCGCTCTTCAGCTAGGCCTTGCACATTTCGCCTGTGTTCGCGCATGTCACCCAGCCCAAGATGTCCTTGTGGAAGAGGTTGGTGTAGACGCCCGGGTCGTTAACCTCGTTGCAGCCCCAACCGAAGCTGGTGACGCCGACCAGAAACCAGCGGTAAAACTGAGGGTGGTAGTACATCAGCGGTCCGCCTGAGGGCACAGGAAACAGTCAGAGCTGACAACGGAAAATTCGAAGTTACAATGACAACAGGGGGGCTTAAGTGACATTTTACAAGCGTTTGAGCAACGCGTGGAACGCAAAGCTTTTGCAAAGTGCGAAAGTGTAGTGTTTTGAAGACTGCATAAGCCCGACTTCTCATTTCAGACATTCTTTTTCATTTTAATTATCGTTGACGCATGAGACAACGAGGACATGTCGCCCCAACAGCTGGGGTAGGCCCGGTGTGCTGGCATCAGCACCGTCTGGCGGTGACTGGCGTCTGCGTCCATCACGCCAATAATACGGATAACGACACTTAAAAGACAGCCAGATGACTGCTCCCAGTCACACCATGTCGGTGCTCCTCACGCCAAATGCGCCCGGCTGTGTCGTGTGCCAAACGCATCCATCACGACAGCCGGGGCGCATGTCTTCTGCCTGGCTGGGATCGACGTCCCCCACCCCCCACTGTCGTCAGTGGGGGGGGGGGAGGCACTGGCCGCTACCGGTCCGGGCATGGCCCGGCCGACTGACCCGAGTCGCCGAGGCAGGCGTCGGTGAGGTCGGAGACGCCACACAGCATGCGCTCCGTGAGCAGACTGCGGGAGCGGTACTTGGTCCTGGCCTCGCACGTGTCCCAGCGCACCAGCTCCATCCACTGACGGCAAACGGTTCAGCTGCTGGTGCCCGCGGCCACGCGCCACTACGGCGGTGCAGACTCGCAGCAAACACTGCCCTCACAAGCCGACCAACGGCGCTCCTCCAATCGGACGCCGTCGGCAAGGACAGTATGGACTTCACCGGAAACGGGCACCATTCGATGGCGTTGCTATCAGTATGGCTGGTCAAACGCACATACACACCACCCTCGACCTGGTTGCAATGGAAATTCCCAAAGCTGCTGCACAAACGCGAGGACCCGACCGATGTTACTGTGTTTGGCATTCCTTTGCGTAGATACCTTGGTCTTCATGAGTTTTTCGGACTGACGTCCAGCGTACGAGGTCCTTCCCCAGCCCGCAGCCACCACCCACGGGTTCTTCGCGGGAAACCTGCCGGCGACATCCGCACCAAACTGTGGTTAAGCTGGCAGTGCCAACCAGATTCATGGCTGCCGTGCTCTTCAGTCGGCACACATTGACGGTGGAAGTAGCTTCTGTAGAAACAGCATCGACCTCTCGCGTTGGTACTGCACCACATCAAGACACGTAACTTTTTCATAAACTTGGCAATGCAATGGTGGAGTTATGCGCAATGAACAAGCCAGTCATGCAGGACGCGTCGTCACTGACGGTTTGCATCGTTCGTCGCCTCGCTTCTCACTTGAGGTTATAGGGTAGACATATTGGGTAGATGACTTTGTTGATCTCGACTGGCACGTCCAGCTCCAGCAGCGCTACGTCGTAATCTTTGTTGGTGTCTTGATACTGCACCTTCATCACCGCCCTGCGGAAGCTCATCGGGATATGAGGATAATATACCAAATACCAATTGAATACGTATTACAGCTGTGTTATTGATGATTTATGCTCGAGCTAACAGGGACATCAAATTGTTTGATTGCTCCACGACTTGCATCATGAATTCGGTGAAAGATGTGTGCAGCCGTCCATTGCGGTTGGTACAGGAATTAATAAACCATTAATGCAAGTTCATCTAGGATTATTTAGCGTAAGGAAATAGGCATCCAAGGATTGCGCTTCCACTACGGCGCTAGCGTCCAGCTCGGGCGAGCTGTCACCAGCTGGCGGCCTGTGGCGCGGCCCCTGTTGCCGTGTGCCGGACGCTACCTCTTGATGTTACGCAGCTGCACCTCGGGCGGGTCGCTGCGCGCCCAGTGCATGCCGAACACGAGCTCGCTGCGCCGCCAGGAGTCCTCGTTGCGCAGCTTGGCCAGGCAGTGGGCGGCGGTGAGCACGAACCGGTCCGACACCAGGCTGCCCGAGCAGTACGGCAGGTTCGGGATGGTTGCCAGAGGGGATGTCTTGATCCTGCCAACCGAGGCACGCTCAGATGAGGCGCCACATCACACCGGACCGCGTCAGCTGAGACACCCCGAGCTCTCAGGTAACCACGTGGGACCTCCAACCCCGGACGATCAGCTTCATTGGATTCTTGAGTGTACTGAAACACTCAACATGAAGGTCCACAAGCTTCTGATTTCGATGGAAACAAATATGGAAAGCCGGCGCCACCCTACGCTCCGCCTTGGTAATGTGTGCGCGACACGTTCTTGTCTAGTGGTTCTGGAGATGTATAATGGTTGGGTAATGAACATTTTGGAGGCCCGTGACCGTTGCAAACGTCATACAGGCTCAAAACCACCCCAGGGAAAACTTTTAATGTTGACGTTAAATATGTCAACGGAACCACTGTCACAAAGTAAAAGACAAAAGCTGCGTTCACAACGCGCTCCGCCTTAGCATTTTTGCTCTAGCGGATCGGTAAGCAAATCTACGAGAAGTCGCTTCTCTTCGTCGCGTGGACTCGCGAAGCCGGTGGTGCTGGGTACGGTAAGCTGCATCCAAAGCATGCGTAAGCACGTCGCATGTATCAACGCAAACGTTTCGAAGTCTCTCATTACATACTGACCCAGACTGATGGCATCCACATGTACCTTACCTCACCGCGGCGATCCATGGAAATTCGTTCTTTCCGGTTTCCACACCATTAACGATTCTAGAGCTTGAGACGCCTGGTTGTCCACATGTGCAGTTGAGGGCTGCATTAGATTTGTCCAAACCGAAGAAAATGAATATGATTACAAATGCAAACATCTCAGATGCGCTCCATCAACACTTGAATTTGGTCATGATGTGATCCACCATGGCGAATTCAGAGCAAACTAAGTTCATTAGCACGTAAGCTTTAAGGAATCAAAACAAGTTTGATTGGTCTGAACTCGTGATGTTTCGCGCAAAGCACCTTTGTGCTTTGAACACCTACTATGGTCGTAGAGGCTGGCAAGAAATAGGTTTCCTCTACACATAACCTCAAGCGCGTGACATGATAAAAGTTCCATAGCCACGCTTCCGCACCCACACCTACATTGAGCCCCGAACACGTCGGTGCATCATCCCGATAAATGTTACGATCAAACCCGGTAAGTTCAAAATGTCAAAATTCAAAATGAGATTGAACCACTCGGGGCAATTCACCCACATACCAACCAGGGCGGCACAGTGGGCACAAAATTCGTCCATGATCCCTGCAGTACACTTGAAGGGACATGCTAATGCAATGCACTCGAGGGGACATGCTAATGCAATGCACTTGAAAGGACATGCCAATGTAATACACCTGAATGAACATGCTCACATAAGTCGCCAGTGCCTCAGTCACTAAGATAATGGGCCTTAAAACGTACATGAACAACAGAACCACTGAGATAATCATCGAGGCCGATACAGAAATGCTACCCAGTCAGGCGTGCAGTGGAAAATGCAGTGCAGTAAAGGCGTAACGCTACTTTATGCATTTTCCCAATTTATGGCGAAGGTTTCTTCGAGATTGATCCTGCCTCCACCGACACAGATGTCAAATCTGTTCCAACGGATCAATCACAGTCACAATAATCAATACCGTTTATTAAATCAATTTGCGTCGTAACAGTGTAACTACTTGTAACAACGCAAGCCAACACGGGCAGCACCGAGGCCGCCATCCATTCACACCCGTGACAAACATCCGCGGTGAAAGCAGGATAACTGTGCATGAAGTAAACACGTCATGAGCTGAGGGGATCTAGGCGGTGCGCGGCAGCGAAGATTGCGTCCTATCACAAGCTGCGACCGCGCCGCCCGGGCCGCGCGCCCCTGGCGTAACTGCAGGGCGGGGCGCGTGGCTGGCGCAGCAGCCAGAGGTCATGCGGCGAGGCCGGCCACGAGCTGGCATTGTGGCGATGCAGAGAGGTCACGGCGGCGGACGGTCCGCGCCGCTGGCAGGGACGCAGCAGACGGAGCAGCCGTGGCGCCGCCCGCCGACGCCTCTTCGTCGAATAGACACGGTACCACGCGCGATGAAGTGAGGCAGACGCCTCTGACCGTCAAAGGCAACGGAAAGGTTCGCCAGAGCTGGGCCGCATTTACAGTCTAAATATTCTAAGATAAATCTGCCCACTGTTCAACAAGAATGCCTTTCATTGCACTTCGGGTCAGCCTTGTCGTACCGATTGCGAGCAAACATACACAACGTTGCCAGGAATATTTTGCCACCCATAAATCATTGGGGAAAAGGATGCATACCAGATGCAGAATGTTAAACAAGCATTTCCTAACTGAAACACGCCAGAAAACGCCTGTCCCTGAAGGTGCCGAGCAACACGCGTGCGTTCTGCATTATACCAGCTGCTCGCACAGGCAGGATATACCCAGCGGCGAGACATTACTCCCCTACCCAGTCCATCTCCTCAAAAACCGGGTCAATAAATAAATGACATTTACCACTCCGCAGTCAGCACGTCGTGTCACCGGCGCTCCGGGCCAGCCACGGCAGGCGGCGGCGGCGACGCTGTCCGCCGGCGCGCGCCCGCACGGCCGGTAGCGGAGCCGGCCGGCGCCACGGCGGACCCCTCAAGACTCCGTGCCCTCCGGGCTGAACAGGCACACGTTGGCAGGGCTCCAGCGCAGGTCGCTCCCGTTAAACAGCAGAGACCACACGTACGGGATGAAAAAGTCCTCCGGCTCGTTCTCCTCGACGTACTTGAACTTCAGCTCGGGGAATTTCTGCGGGAGCAGGGAGACAAGGCGTTGGTGAGTAGCTCACTTCATCTCCAACACACGACCCCTCTCGGCGTCGCTCTCTGTCCAAGCGTTACATAACCCAGATCGGTGCCCGCCTGGTGCACAGACCGGGCAGGCAGAGGGGGGGGGGGGGGGGCGAAAGGGACGTCACGCTCCGCGAAGGGAGACAACCTTAGCCCAGACCCCAAACGGGTCGGCGTCCACACCTTGAACGACCCAGCGTCCTCCCACGCACAGCAAAGGGCGGCCCGAAGCTGGACGACCGGCCGGCGGCTCCAAGGCCACACGCGTGTGAACGGCGCCCTGGCATCGGACGCCGCGCGGTGGAACGGGGCCGCGCCACCCACCTTGAGCCGCTCCAGGGGGAACTTCTTGGCGCCGTCCTCGATGACGGCCAACACATCCCGCACGCCGATGTCCTTGTGCAGGTTGTCCAGCTTGGAGTTGAAATACAGCAGGATCTGGCGGCAGCGGTAGTACAGTCAGTCGACAGCGCCAGGCATAGCACGGCAGCGAGCGTACGGCGGTGGCTGTCGCAGACGGTTGGAGCCACACACCGGAGCGTGGGCACGCCCGGACCAGCTCCAACGCACATCGGAGGGCATGCAAAACACGCACACCTTCGAAACGGGCACAGGACTGTCAAGAGATTGGCGCACCGTCTATATAACGCGCCAATCAAGCACCCCTCCAGCGGACCCACCGCCATCCGAGCACACCTTCAGCGGGCCCACCGCCATCCGAGCACACCCCCAGCGGGCCCACCGCCATCCGAGCACACCCCCAGCGGGCCCACCGCCATCCGAGCACACCTTCAGCGGGCCCACCGCCATCCGAGCACACCCCCAGCGGGCCCACCGCCATCCGAGCACACCTTCAGCGGGCCCACCGCCATCCGAGCACACCTTCAGCGGGACCACCGCCATCCGAGCACACCCCCAGCGGGCCCACCGCCATCCGAGCACACCTTCAGCGGGACCACCGCCATCCGAGCACACCTCCAGCGGGTCCACCGCCATCCGAGCACACCTTCAGCGGGCCCACCGCCATCCGAGCACATCTTCAGCGGGCCCACCGCCATCCGAGCACACCTCAAATGGGCCCACCGCCCTCTCTCCCCCTCTCTCTCTCTCGCTCTCCCTCGCCCACCGAGGGCGGGCTACCAGCGCGGCCGTCCCGGCGTCCCTACACGTACCGTGTCAATGTTCTGCGTGATGTCCTGGAAGTTCGGGTGTGTGCGATACAGGTGGAACACGCTGCGCTTGTACAGCAGCGTGTACACCAGGTTGGGGTTGTGCGGGAGCTGGGACGTCAGGCACGAGTTGATGATCTCCAGCACCATGCGCAGCACCTCCTCCAGCACGGCTAGGTCCTGCGGAGCGCGACACGCCGGCTCAGTACGGCGTCCAGCCGGCACCAGCAGCGGCACACCGACCGGCCGCCACACCACACACCAGCCGGAGCTGCAGCAGAGGCGCCGCAGAGACACACGGCAATGACTCGGCCAGTCCCACTGGATGCAATCATCTCATCGTCATGCCATCCAATCACTGCCTCAGCACGAGTACATATCACTCAGTCACAAAAGCTGGACACCCCGAGTCAAAGTCTGCCGTCGGGGCCGTCCCAGAGTCAAACTACCGTCCGAATGCACGCGCCTACACACTGCCGACGCCCGCGTCATCGGTCCTGATCACGGCCTGACGAGGCCGGCAGGCGGGCCCGGCACCGCCGAAGCCGGCGCGCACACCTGAACGGCCTCGTCGTCGGGCTCGGCGGCGGCGTCGGCGGCGGCGCGCAGCCGCTCCAGCTGGCGGCCGTGCCGGCGCGCCAGCAGCTCGAACAGCGACACCAGCCGCTGGCAGACGTACGGATGCAGCTGACGGAACTCGCACGACATGTTGGCCAGCGCTGCCAGGCAGTTGGTGTGCAGGTACTTGTCCTGTCGGGCGGCAACAACGTCAGCCCACGTACGCACACACGCGCACACATACACACATGTATAACGCTACACACGCAGCTCCATGAAATAATCCATATTGATTCAATCATGGCCTTACATTCGCACACGTTCCTCCACTACCGCACCATACCAGCATAAACAGGTGGTTTCAGCTAAACCCTTGGAACTACAAAACCGAAAACCCCAAACAGTAGGTGACGGCACCATCACTGGGCCTGACCACACGCCAGCACGACCGCCGCGCTGGCGGACTGCGGAAGAAGGGTGACAGCTAAGGCACTTATCGCAAAACACCGTTCGCCTATGATAGGTTGGTAGATGGTAGCCGCTTCTGAACATTTTTCGTACCAAAATGTAGTGATATTTCGGTTGCCACCTCCGGGTAGCCGAGGAAACTGATGCTGGATTCGCCACCCCGCCGCCGTGCACGAATTCCACGGCGGGCCCATTGTTTGGCTTGGCTGATAGGAAAGGTTAGCTGATCACTGACTAACGGGGGTTAACCCAGGCCCGGGGTGGCCGCACCGTCACGTTGTGCGACGTGCAAACTCATTGGTGGTCTTGTCTAGCGCACGCGCGAGGGCAAACTTAGGCGATTAACTGAAATAACACAGCTTGGAACACGGTCGCATGGTACATGCAACACTCCTTCCCTGGCACATGCCATGAACCTAACACCATCCACGCAGGCTATTTGAAATAACTCTCTGAAGCGACTGGAAACTTTTCTCAAAATGCGAAACCGCAGCCGGCGTGAGCCAATGACGGATTTCACATTCTGATCGATACTCCACGGTCATCCACATCGCCGCGATATCGCCGGGCCGGCCGTGGGGAACTCTCTCACACGTCTTGAGGTGACGGACTTATCTCCGAAACTCTTGTAACTCTTGAGCTCTTAAGCCTTGATCGTTTTAGCTCTTAACTCTTAAGCCCTGATCGTTGTTTTGCCGTTGTGCGGTGGCGCCCTCGCCGATGCCAAGATCATTTTGATCACGGGACCATTGTGAAGGGGTGAACAAAGCTCGGCTTTTCCTTCCTAGCTACATAATTTTATATTTTTCCATGTAAGCTTTCCGCATCATGTCTTTGTTCCCACTGAGCAGCAGAGTATAATTTCCTCGCCGTGTCTTGGAGAGCAACGTGTCGCGCGAAGTCACTCGGCAGCCTCCACCCCGCCGCGTTTCCTTCACACCGGCATCAGTCAGTCTGTCCGGAGCGGCGGCACGACTTACCCTCATCTTGGTCATGTTGTACTGAATGGTTCGGATGACCACGAGGATAAGCAGGCCGCCGAGTGAGATCTCAGCCAGCGGCCGCTCTGTGTACCAGCTGACTTGTCTCAGCATCTGCGAGTGCCGGCGGAGAGGCGTCAGCCGGACCCGGGCCGTGCCCGCCGGCGGCCACCGCCTAGTCATCTACACCGACAGGATCGGCCCCCAAGGGTCGCCCTCACCCGCCCAGATCGCCCCACAAACCGGCAGGATCGGCACCCTCACCCGCCCGGGCCGCCCCACACACCGGCAGGATCAGCACCCTCACACGCCCAGGCCGCCGCACACACCGTCAGGACTGGCGCCCAAGGATCCCTCGCCCGCCCGGGCCGCCACACACACCGGCAAGATCGGAACCCATGGGCCGCCCCCACCCGTCCCATACACCGACAGAGCGGCCGCGGCAATGGCGAGTGTGCTCCCGCTCGCAGCGTCAGCCATTCATCCGTAGTAACCTCCCGACAAAGCCCCACTACACGTCCGTATCGGATCCTTCCACCACATCATGACTGCTGCCGCAGTCCGGCCGCCTCGCACGCCTCCTTCATGATCAAACACCTCCGCGACAGACGGAGCGGCGAGCCGGCACAGTCCGTGTCGCCACAGTGGCCTGGACCGCGGCGGCCGCGGCGGCCGGACGAGCCCGGCGTACCGTGGCGTGCACGCTGCGGTTGAACAGTTCGTCCTCGCTCAGGATCAGCAGCACGATCAGCGACATGTAGATGTGGTGGCTGCTGCTCTCGGGCGCGTTGTACAGGACCCGCAGCGTGGGCAGCACCTGCCGAGCGGGGACGGCGGCCGGTCAGCGGGCAGCGGGGACGGAGGCCGGCCAACGGGCAGCGGGGACGGAGGCCGGTCAGGCGGCGGCGGCCTGACCCCTCCTGGTAAGCCGAGCCGCAGCACGGAGCACACGCGCAGCCAACACGAAGCCCTCCAGCCGTGCGTCCAGAAAGGCCGACGGACAGCACCAGTCGTGACAGGCTGGCCGGCGGACAGCATTAGTCGTGACAGGCCGGCCAGCGGACAGCACCAGTCGTAACAGGCTGGCCGGCAGACAGCACCAGTCGTGCCAGGCTGGCTGGCAATGGGCGCCACGAGATGTCCCGTTCCGACGACAGACGACTGCTGTCCGTCGGAGCGGACCGGCGACGGGTAGATCAGACCGCGCGCGAAAACCAGCGCTGCGCTCCGCAGGCACCTGATGGGTGTCCCCACCACGGCCCAGACCGTTGGCGCTACGCGTCCTCCTGCGCTCCATCACAAGATCACCATCCATGCTCTGTCATAAAGGTCACTCTTGCTAGGCAGCCCAGAGCCAGCACCGGCGGTGAGCGTAGGAGCGCTGTCGCCTGGCCCGTCGACTCACCAGGGCGTCGATGTCGGTGCGCGAGAGCACGTAATGTCGGAAGGCGGTGTTCTTGTGCAGCAGCAGGTACAGCAGCAGGGTCGTCTGATCGGTGCAGGGTGGAGAGCAGAGCGCGGCGTACAGCCCGCTCAGCTCCATACTGAACGCCTCGGGCGCCGCCACCAGCTGCGTCTCGGCCGGGTCTGTCGGCGCGAACCACAGCAAAACCACACAAGGTCAGCCGGTAAGACGCAGTCGTGCCGCGCCGTGTGCGTCGCGCGCAGAACTATCTGCTAACGAGTCCTCGCTTCTGCTTCTACGTTCCACCCAAGACCTAGACCATACTAGCTAGCTGTTATTATTTTTTTTTCATCCCGGAATCAGCAGTGCATCTTTCCAATGCAGACGCAAAACGTCATTACTCAGGTTTTGGGCCAAGTCATTTTGTAGCAGCCATCATGACAGTAAATACAATCCGAACACACCCACTGACATATTGAAAACAGCCGGTGCAAACAAAAACCCAGCGGGGTGCCGGTAGTGTAGTGGTTAAGGCGCATGCGTTAACCAATGCGAGTCTGGGAAACCAGAGGCACGGGGTTCGATCCCCAGCGGTCCCCGCCCTTCCTGCCAGGGTGAGAGGCAGGAGGCACCATAAAGCCTCAGCAGCTGAGTGCGTCGTAAACTCCAATAACAACAAAAACGCAGCCTAACGACCTTCTGATGACTATCGTTACAATGAGCTTTGTTGGCTGCCGACTTTTATGTTTTCGCAAGCACCAACCCACACCGCATGGGTGATTTACCCCGCTCTCCTCCCCCACCCCCATTGCTGCATCTCCTGCTGGGTCGGTCGGCCGGGGCGGCCTTACCCTGCAGGTTAGACATGTGGAAGAGCGCCTGCCGGAAGGGGTTGTGCAGCTGGCTCTGGCTGGTGCAGTGGTTGCCCAGCACCAGCAGCAGGTGCAGACTCTGCTGGGTGAGCGGCGGCAGGCGGCCGGCCGTCTTCTCCTCCGTCGCCGGCTGCGCTCCGTAGCCCAGCGTCAGCGCGCTCCACAGGCCGCCTGGCGACGCACCGGGGCGGGGTCAGAGCCGGGAGGAGGCGGGCTCCACAGGCCGCCTGGCGACGCACCGGGGCGGGGTCAGAGCCGGGAGGAGGCGGGCTCCGCGGGCCGCCTGGCGACGCACCGGGGCGGGGTCAGAGCCGGGAGGAGGCGGGCTCCACAGGCCGCCTGGCGACGCACCGGGGCGGGGTCAGAGCCGGGAGGAGGCGGGCTCCACAGGCCGCCTGGCGACACACCGGGGCGGGGTCAGAGCTGGGAGGAGGCGGGCTCCGCGGGCCGCCTGGTGACGCACCGGGGCGGGGTCAGAGCCGGGAGGAGGCGGGCTCCACAGGCCGCCTGGCGACGCACTGGGGCGGGGTCAGAGCCGGGAGGAGGCGGGCTCCACAGGCCGCCTGGCGACGCACCGGGGCGGGGTCAGAGCCGGGAGGAGGCGGGCTCCACAGGCCGCCTGGCGACACACCGGGGCGGGGTCAGAGCTGGGAGGAGGCGGGCTCCGCGGGCCGCCTGGTGACGCACCGGGGCGGGGTCAGAGCCGGGAGGAGGCGGGCTCCACAGGCCGCCTGGCGACACACCGGGGCGGGGTCACAGCTGGGAGGAGGCGGGCTCCGCGGGCCGCCTGGTGACGCATCGGGGCGGGGTCAGAGTCGGGAGGAGGCGGGCTCCGCGGACCGTCGGTCAACACACGGCCAACTTCCGTCGCAAAACTGTCAGCCATGCATTTTAATATTTAAACGCACTTTCCATACCTCATGTTTTGTCATAAAAAGTACATCCATCGTCACGACGCGGTGACACAAGTGCGTTCGGCTGCAGTCCACATTCATGCGTGGACGCGCGCGCGTATATACTGACTGGCGATTCCCAGAACTAGGCTGCCACCGCCCGTGTAGCGGCTGTCCGGCGCCGGCTGGCGCGTCACCACGTGCTTCAGCAGCGTCTTCATCAGGATGCAGGCGTGGATGGCGCTGCGACCCGACATCAGGGTCCTGCCGGCGGGAGATAGCGCGTCAATGGGGGGGGGGGAGGGGGGGGGATAAACCAACAGCGCCCGGCCCGTCCTCACACACAGCTCTCGCCACCGTCAGCCGGTTTGGCCGGCCCTATAATGTGCCTCACCCCTTTGGAACAAAAATAGGTGCTGCTGTGCAGTAACACACGAATGCCTCTTGGCTACATGGTATCTTCAGCCGGGGATACGACCAAACATTTCCCATCGGTTGGTTCCATATTTGTACACGGACTGAAAAACGCACGCTGTGATACTTGGACGCGACTGTCCACAGACCCACATCCCTCTCAGTGCATCCCGCACACTGTCCCCCCCCCCCGACCGCGCCACCCCACCCCACAACGTCGCGGTGGCTCAAGCCGCACCTGTACACGACCAGCGAGTGCGCCTGCTTGGTGGAGTACATCTGGCAGCCGAGCAGGATCAGCAGCGTGTTCAGAGCCTCCAGGTGAATGTAGTAAGTCGCGTCCCTATGCAGCGGGCGAGGCGTCACAACAGCGGCAGCAGACGCCGATACCAACGGCGCCTACTCAATTTAAGATTCAGTCATATTTTGAAATAATGCACTTCTGGGACTCTTAAATCAAAGCTCTCGTTACTCAGCACTTGTGCAACTTTCACCACTACCACTTCATTGGGAAATTTCAGATCAACGGCAGCATTGGTGGCGAAAGCTTAAACGTGCGGCAAAGCTCGCCCAAATCCGTCCTGCCCTCTGTCACCTGACCTTTAGCACGACCACTGCCTCATTCGAACAACAATCAGCGCGGTAACGGCGTTGAGGCTGCCGTCGGAACGTTCCTGGCTACAATTGTATAAATAGTCTTCGCCGCCTAACGTTAGCACGGCACGACAGGGGACCGCGCCACACGACGCGACCCCGGGACCACGTGCCGCGTGGAGCGCAGCCACCGCTCGGCAAACCGGCCCAGCCGTGGTGCCGGGAGTCCAGCCACACTCACAGCAGGGGTACGTCCACCAGCACCTCGATGAGCGCGTTCAGCAGCGTCTCCAGCTGGCTGCCGGGCTCGGCGGCGGCCGGGGGCGCGCCGGCCGCCGGTCGCGGCCGCGCCTCCAGCTGGCGCACCAGCTCCTCCTCGCGCAGCAGCTGCACGCACAGCTTGCAAATGCAGCGGATGGCCAGCAGCGCGTTCAAGGTCTCGTCCGCCAGCCGGTTGCTGCGCAGTGGGAGAAAGGGGGAGGGTACGGGAGGAGGGGGACAAAAGTTAGCGACGCCATCTTGGACTCGCAAACGCTTGTGCAGCACACCATCAAACTTGTGAACAAACTGCTGTCACAAGATCATGACGCGACCCACACGACATACTAGTACAGTGACCTCCGTTACCAATGGTATGAAACGCGAATGCCCTATGCACTTCTGGCACCATCCATTTGAGCGCGTGTCGCCGTCGTTGAAGGCATATGCATACATCTTGAATGAGAGCGAATTTAGAGCTTCAGAATGCGGGCATCTTTTGGTAACTTTACCATTCACTTAGATAAGACGGTAGTAATAGCCTTATTCGTCAGACATAAAAAACAACAGGAAAATGGAGATATAGATGTGTTGGGATTTCGGCAGAATGCCTTTCTTACAACAATAGCAGAAGCGAATTCAAAATTGCCTGCCAATGGTCCTACTAGATTTTTCAGCGTTTTTTTTAAATTTTTTTGGAAACAGCGACCCACAGTTTTTACATGACATCAACATCCGACATTCAGTGTGACATGAGGCTATTACTACAGCATTTTCTATGTAAATAATATTCCTCGCATATGCAATTCACAATTTAGGTAACTTTATCATTCATTTAAAAAAGTGCTCTGGCGACCCTACAGTGACTGGCTGTGACATAAGGATGTAGCCCAGCAGTCAAAGACTTGTACAAAACGCCTGCTTGTCATTCACCGCCAATAACGACGCCAATGGCAGCAACATCTAGACCATCAAAGCAAATGAAAAGCACGCCAAAGACTATCTCACCCTTCAAGCTGAGCTGAAGCCTTCAGATCTGAGGCCTTCAGCAGGAAGACACGCATCAGTGAGCCCAGATTCCCCGTCTCCAGGTTGTTCGTTAAAAACAGGTTGAACAAGCTAGAGACATTCTCCTCCAGTCTACAGTCGTCCTCCCTGGGGATAAGGGAAAAAACCACGACCTTCAGTGTGACAGCACGAAACGACAGGTGCTACTGACGAATGGTGTTACTGCTGATGTCGATGAAAAGAGGTACACAAACACAGATCCATTCTTTAGTTTATGTTTAAGGAAACCCGTCGGACGTCGTTGCACATCTCGTAAGGAGAGCCAGCAACTACAGTGCCTATTTGAGCATTTGGGTGCTGTAGGGTTGTATGGATTTGAGCTCAGGCACCGCACGCAGGAGCCAAGAGACTTAATGAATGCACGAGTCTGACTATGTGGTGAAAATATTTTTGCCTGATATTCCATTGTGCCTTCAGTACAAGACAGAGTCACAAACTTACTTTGTTAACCTCTTCTTGAAGCGGAACTCGAGCAGTTTGTCCCAGAATGGATCATTGGGAGCGATGAGTTCCTTGCTGACCATGCGCGCCAGCTCCGGGCTCTCGGACAGGGAGCCCAGGTCACTGGCACCGGCGCCCATCGCCGCGAATGCCAAGCTCACCTGCAACACATTGATGGCCTCTGGTACTAGAGCAAGTGTGGTGGCAGCCAGGAAAATTGTCTAGCCAGGTTAGCAGCATATTATGTCCCAGGCCAAGTTAGGAATGGATCACATAATGTGACAAAGACTTTAAATCTACCCTAATGAAAAATCATGGTTCACTTACTGGACTACACATGTGGAAAGTGGGAAAGATGGGGAGGGCACAGGTGCAGCTGCTACCATCTCAGGAAGAGTTGAACACAATGGTTTCATATGGAAGTCATTGTAAAAATATCGCTTTACCTATAGCTCCTTATCTCCTCACTACATTATGGATCACACTTGGAATACATTGCTTTGCTTCACTATCTGGCTCTCCCACATAACTCCACATTTTCCATGCTTCAGCATCTTAAAGATGTGTGTTCAGTATGCCACAATATTATCCATAGTCTCAAAGCACAAAAGGAAACAAGATGTGCAGAAGATCCCCTATGAAAGCTCATCTTGCAAATATCTGATTTGCACACCCACACCCACACAACATGTGCTATACCCAGTGCAGCGGGGTGTCCATGTACACTGTTGTGAGCAACGTGCCCATGCCAGGCACTGCACATCACCCCGCTTGTAATGGCGGCGGCCCGGCTGTCAGTGCTGCCGGCTAGTCTAGGTCATGTGGCCTGGATGTTTGGTTAATCAGCAGCATCCCCTTGTGGTGCCAAGCCAAGGTCAGGCGCGTGGTGCAGTCGAGGGGCCAGTTGGGTCCTGGCTCCTGGCTGACAGGGTACATATTCTGTGTCCCCCACCCTCCCTTTGAGCCACTGGAAATGCCTAAAGGGTTTGTTCCATACCTTACATATGGCCTATGGCCTATGGATGACAGCTGGGGCACTCCCAGAGAGCTGCAAAACTGTCCTCCTACCAAACCCTTCTGGAGGCTCAATGGCAATGAGCTCCACTGTGGCACCCAGAGATGTTGTGTACATGACATGACAATGTACATGTAATATAGCATAATGATTAGAGCAAGTGATTTAGAGCTGTCATCAGAATAAGATACAGTGAATTGCTATGGTGTCTGGCACAAACCATCCATCATGTCCTCTAAATTAGATTTAACTGGTCACAGCAGCCCTTTAGGCAGGACCTTCTGAGCCTCCATCCTGTGATTCTGCATGTCATGGACTAGGTCATGGCAGACCACTCCACCTTCCATCATCACTGCAGTCACATTCTCACAATTTGTACCTGCTATTTGAGTAAAAACATTCCAACATTATATACAGCAGATCTTATTCAAATCACACAGCCCCTCCAATGACTGCACCAGTCAGTGTAAAGCTTTTATTAAAAATAGCATACAATTTCACGTGCAATATATGTTTTCTCAGAGAGACAAGGAAGGGCTGAGTCTGCCAAAAGATTTTCTGATTCTCTTTTTACCATTAAGAAAAAAAACTTCTAATTCAAGAAACAATACCTAAGTATAGCAATGCAATATAAAAACCATCCCCACACTCCTGCACTTTGGTATTCCATTTGTGCCATGATCATGTGACTGCATTAAAAGAGGTTAAACTAGGTGTGCATTCAGACATTCTGCAATGCTTGGTGTCATGGGTTGATGCCATTTTGGGTGCATGATAAAACCAAAACATGAAAAGAAGTCCCAATTGACTGAGATCTGATCACAAGTATGCTAGTGGTCACCATTCATGTGCGTGATATGGCAGCGACCTCACTTGAGCTAGCATCAAAGCATATAATTTGTGGAAGCATTACGTTCCAAAACAAACAAATGACCTGAAACACTACACACGAGCAGGCTGTAACTATTGAAAAATACAGGCTGCGCATTTGGAAAGGTGCTGAAAACATTCTTCCCTGTGGATCTCGTGAGCTGGTGACCTTCGTAATGTTGACGCCCGTCCAGGCCTGGCACGAAAGGACTTTGAACCAAATCCAGGCCAACGCTGCAAGGTTAGGCAAGGGACAGTTTCTGAACACTTATTCGAAGAACGTAGGCCCACACCTGACCAGCAACAAAATAGACCAATTACTATCCTGAAAATAACAGGAGATATATTACCTAGCAAAGTTCCAGCGGACCTCACGTTCCCCAGTCGCAGCAACCACGAGACCTCCCGCACCACCACCTCCACGCGACACCAAATTTCAGCCGAGGCCGAGAGTGCGGGTGCGAGATTTGTTGACGTGACTATAGAGAAGAGCATATAATTATAGTGCATAAAAGTACTTCTTTTTCCCAGCGTCTGCAGGATTTGCCATCGATATAGTGATCAAATAATATCATCAATTACAAAAATTTGTAACCTAGTTTGGTAGTCAATAATTTATAAAATCTTATCCTTTCAAAATATAAGCAAATCATAACAGTACTTGGTACTTGAAGGCACGCGTGTGACAAGATGCGTCCATCCTTTCAACAATGGCGGCCTCCATCAGGCGAATTCTCGGGAGAGGGCTCCCATTTATCAACCGAAGCTATGTACAAGGTAAGCGGAGTTGTCTGCTATAATTTCTTTCCTGTGATTGTCTCTTTCCTTTCCTCTTCAGGTTGTACTCCTCAATTTTTGGAAGAAGGGGAATGGCCACCGCGAGTATATTACGCGCGGCACGCAACTAACTCAACCAGCCAGCTAGCCAGCGTGTACTGAGTCCAGTTGGTATATTGTGTACGAAAAGTTGATCTCCAAAATACCCACCCGGGTTGCATTTGTAATATGTGAAACGCTCAACTGAATCCAGTCCTCCATTAACTTGAAAACTAGGCTGCTCCCAGTGAGGCATCGGCCTGCATCATCACCAGTGGCAAAAATTATTTGTCACAATGAGTGTGTCTGGAGCAGCCATAAGTTTGGAATTCGTCGCACAATGCTTCCGGCTTCAGCGGATAGGGTGCAAATATTTCAGTGATTATCCTGAGAATGAAATGTGGCACAAATAGTACCCCAACACCTGTTTCACACTGAAGTTATTCATAAATTCAATGCAATGTGTAGTGGCCCAATTTTGAAGCAAATGTACCTCACTAATATGTAGGTGTCCTGTACAATGTATATTTTTTGCAGGCCAGCAGCATTGCAGATATGAGCATATTTTGAACACTTGCAATCATGGAGACTTGAATCATGCATGCAGGAATGACACTTGAATGTGATTTGGAGAAACAAGTATCGGCCAAAATTGTGATAGCCAATGCCTAAAGACAAGACAAGATTTTAAAATCATCATATGACTTTCCCATAAACAAGACAATGCTGGCTTGCAGTAGGCTGACTATGGAATGATAGATTGACTAGTGGACAATAAAGGTTATAATGACTTAAGATAGGTATCCATTTTATGGCTAGACAAGGTATTTGGAGGTTCAACACCCTGCCTTGTTTTGCTAGTTTAACAGTGGTATCACTTATGAGTAACCAGTCAATTCCTGTTTTGCTGGAGATGAAAGTAAACTACTTTGATGAAGATAGTTTTAAGGTGAGATCAACTCATGTGACCTGACCCAACTATCAAAAATATTTGCAACACTTCAACCAAAATAGCAGCATGATCCACCAAGAAGTTTGAAAGATCATGTAACATGCAGGGTATAGGTGAAATTTCATGTTGGGCTAAGACAACATTGTCTCAATGTGTACAGTGTGATATTGTCATTTTATCATAGCAGTGTGGCCATGATTGCTTTAAGAATGTATGATACTGATGTTTGTATACTTGGCTGTCAGAAATTACCAGCAGTTCATCAGTAGTATCAGCTCTTGAGATTGACCAGTGAAGTGATCATGGTTTACCCCCACCCACCCACCTCCCAGCCCTCACACAAGAAACACCACCATGGTCTAAATGCTATATAACCCAAGTTTGTGAAGGTTATCAGTAGTCTGTGCATGGAGAAGAATTAATGCTGTCTGGAAGCCTAGGGACCTATCCAGGTGTAATTCTGCAGCTGACATGAACTATTGTGTCTGCCAGCCCCCAGTGTGGAGGCGGTGGTGGAGCCGCCACATCATTATGGTGAGCCGGTGTGGCACCTGTACAGTGCCGTTTGCCTGGAGCGGCTACCAGTGGTGGCCCCTCCACTTTCACCTATTGAGCGGGAATTCTCCACGCTGCTGCGACGACTGGAGTTTGAGAACAGCCTCAAGTCTGACCACGAAATGCGCCATGAGCGCGACATGTGAGTAACAGGTGCAGGCAGGTGTCATGTGTGGCTGTGTAAGTGCCAGCTGCGCGCGGGAAGGGTAGGGCGCCTGAGGGGTCAGTTTCGCGCAATCCATTTGCGATTGCAGGTAAATATGTTGTTTGGCAGGGTACTAAAGCTCATGTTCAGCATGATCATGCAGATCAATCATGGCACATCTTGAAGCCTGAGTGTACACCATGTGCAATAAATGCAGTCCCTCTGGCCGCCGTCACCTGGTGCAGCACTCCGTGGATAGAGCGATCACGTGACGTGTTTCTGGCGGAGCGGTGCGTGTTTGCGTCTGCGTGCTCCGGCCGTGGGTGACGTTTGTCCGGTCGGAGCCCGGGCCGGGCCGCCCCAGCCCCCAGCTGATGTCCGCGCGCACCGGTCGCGGCTGATCTGTGTGCGCCCGGCACCTTGCCAGAGCCACGGCTGAGGCGCTCCGGCTGTCGGATGGCGACGACGCGGACCTGATGGACGCGGCCAGCATGCAGACGGCGGCCGACTTTGAGGACGCCTGCGCCGAGGAGCTGGCCGCCTTCACATCAGCTCCGATGCTTACAGGTCAGCGATGCGCCCCGCAGGTCAGGCGGGTCGGTCAATGACGGGCCGAGTCAGAACTCAACGCAGCTAACGACGGCCCGTACCCCCGGTGGAGATGAGTGACTCCCCGCGTGCTCGCTGGAGGGGTAACTCGCTGCTGTGGTCGCGCCGGCGGGTAGGAGCCGTCACCCAGCCGGCGCTGTGTCCGATGACGGCCGCGCTGGTCTGTCTGGAGGCTGACGCGTGGCCGGCCGGCGCCGTTCGCGTCCCCAGAGGCAGACCGGGCGGGCGACCTGCGCTCCACGGACCGCGAGCTGGCCGCCAGTCTCGTGCTGGTGGTGCAGCAGCGGCTCGGCACCGGCGCCAAGTGGATGATGCCGCAGGGCCGCCACCAGTCGGGCGAGACCATGAGACAGGTGGGTGGCGGCCCCCGTCCACGGGTGTGGCCGGGGCGGCGGCGCGGCGCCGCGGACGGTTGTATCGGTGGGTGTCTGTGTTTGCGTATTTGATATCTCATATCTGATATCTGGTGTCCAGACTCGGGGCTGGGAGGTATCATTGCATGTGGATTGCAGCTGTCAGGGATTCGCCTGCCGCTGCCGGCACCAGCCAGGCACCGCCAGCTCAGACTGCGACAGCTGCCCCGTGTCGTTGTTTGTCCTGTGTGGTGTTCTGTTGCCCTGTGTCATGCGGCAGCTTATGCGTCGAACCGTCCCTCGTCAGCCAGCGTCCCGTGCTTTGGTCTGTTTGTGTCGGAGGCAGTACCCTGCATGTAGATGTCCCGTCCAGTGTGCCAGATGTTGTCCTGTTTATTGAACAGATTTAGTATTGATTGCTTAAATGGCCACGCGACCATATTGTTGATGTTAATGTTGTTTGTTTCATGGTTATCTTAATTTATTGTTTAATTGTCCTGAATGTTGGTCGGTGTGCGGGAGGGAGTCTATCATGTTGAATGGTCGTCTCCCCTGAAGTGTATTAAACAGTATCACGCGTGCCCCGAGACCTGAGTATTCAGGTCTGTGGGTTGAACTGAATAGGGCCTGTATGACTGAAGAAGTCTCAAACCTTCACTAGTTTCCTGAAAATTGAGTCCAGCAGTGCTGCGTCCAGTTCGTTAGCTCATTGCGTCGGGCAGACTTTTGTACCAGTCTGTGTTGGGTGCCGCATCTTTGTCGGGTGCCGTGCTCTGTGTCGGGTGTCCTGCTGCGTTGGGTGCCGTCTTCTATGTCGAGCAGACCACCCCGTGCGTCGGCCGGTACGCTGTGCGCTGCGGCAGGCTGGTCCGTGCGTCGGCCGGTACGCTGTGCGCCGCGGCAGGCTGGTCCGTGCGTCGGCCGGTACGCTGTGCGCCGCGGCAGGCTGGTCCGTGCGTCGGCCGGTACGCTGTGCGCCGCGGCAGGCTGGTCCGTGCGTCGGCCGGTACGCTGTGCGCCGCGGCAGGCTGGTCCGTGCGTCGGCCGGTACGCTGTGCGCCGCGGCAGGCTGGTCCGTGTGCCTGGCTGTGCTCGGGCTGAACTCTGCTCTGGTTCCGGCAGACGGCGGAGCGCACTCTGCAGACGGTGGTCGGACCGGACGTCCGCGCCCGGTTCCTGGGCAACGTGCCCTGGGGCTTCTACAAATACAAATACCCCAAGGCGTTGCGCCGCGAGTCCGGTGCCATTGGCGGCAAGGTGAGACCCGTAACTGGTGAGAGCAAATGTTGGCATTTTTGATAGCTCTTGTTGTCTTAGATGAAGCCGTGTTCCTCTCGTGCCACGAATAGATCGGACCCAAGCCTCGTTACGAGCTCACACGTTTTTTACGGCGATACCACCCGTACAAGAAGAGAATATATATCCATATATAACATGTTTTATATGGATATATGTCCTGTATACATATAGTGTGTGTGCGTGTGCCGTGCATTCTGAAGCACCAGCTGGGCGGCAGCCGTGTGCGGTGTGTGGCCGGGGCTGATGCGGCTGGCGTCAGCGGCGAACGACGCTCATCCCGCCCTGCCGCAGGTGTTCTTCTTCAAGGCCGTGCTGTCGGGCGGCGCCGTGGAGCCGGCCGCCGACGAGGTGGCCGACTACAAGTGGCTGACGCGGGGCGAGCTGCGCCAACAGCTGCTCTCCAGCTACTACCGCTCCGTCCACCGCTTCCTGGTGGATGAGGACTAACGCGCGCGCGAGAAAGAGCGGCTCCCGAGGACGGCCAGGCGCCGGCTCACTGGTGGTAGACTGACTGGTTGTGCGGCGCGGCGGCGTCCAGTCCGGCTGCCGCGCCGGGCGCCAGCTCGCTGACGGTAGACTGACTGGCTGTGCGGCGCGGCGGCGTCCGGTCCGGCTGCCGCGCCAGGCACCGGCTCACTGACGGTGGACTGACTGGCTGTGCGGCGCGGCGGCGTCCGGTCCGGCTGCCGCGCCAGGCACCGGCTCACTGACGGTGGACTGACTGGCTGTGCGGCGCGGCGGCGTCCGGTCCGGCTGCCGCGCCGGGCGCCGGCTCGCTGACGGTAGACTGACTGGCTGTGCGGCGCGGTGGCGTTCGGTCCGGCCACCGCGCTAGGTGCCTGCACGCCGTTGATGCCGCGGCGGTCCACTCATGATCACTCATCGGAAGGCGTGGTTCTCATGCGTCTCGGCCGTGCGGCGTCGAGGCACCGTCTCAGGTCACCAGCATTATGTCGACGGGATCGGCGCATGTGGTGCGTTGGCTTAAAGTGCTGCATGTGTGAGCGTGGTGCAATATATTTGTGCGTTGAAGATGACAGGATCATTTACACTGCTGCCATGATTTCACGGGCGTCGGTTTTCAGATGACACGGAGGGCATTGGTTGGCACACCCGGCTGGCATGCGGCCGTTAAAACCCCATATACACAAACGGTCGCCATCACTGAGCGCTTGGTATGGCGGCGGTCCGACGGCGCCCCCCCCCCCCCCCCCCCACTCCCACTCCCCTTCCGGGAGCGCGGCAGCTCAAACCAGACCCAGCGCCTTGTGGTTGGTCCACAGCCAGTTGTGGTACAGATTCAGCATGTGGTCTTGCGGTCGCACCTGCTTCCACTCGCCGAGGCAGAAGATGCGGTACGAGTCATTGCCATAGCGACCGATGCCGTACAGCTCGTTCGGGTATTTCCAGGTCTTGGAGACGAACTCGTCTGAGATGTGAGGGGAGCACGTCACCTCATCTCGGCGATACCAAACTCCCAGCACATGCTGCACACGTCACTTTTGGTTCCCTCGGCACGCGAGCCGGTCTGCTGTTAACTGTCTTATGTAGCGAAAGGCAATTACGACCAGACAGCGAAAGCGCTCATTGACTTGTCTGTGCCGGTAGGTCAACACAATCTCACGCAAAAATAAAATGTTCCTCAGGTCATTGTTAACAGAAACGTCAGAGGCGACCTTTGTCCAATTCGTTCAAAATCGACACGAAAACCGACATATGGGGCGATTAGGGCTCCTTTGAATTGCTCACTTCAGGGCTATGGGATGAAAGTGAGTTGGGAGTGTCGGGGCAAGAGAGCATGCAAGTGTGAGCTCTCCGCTACTGAGATTTACCCCACGCAGGACCCCCTTTTTGCTGTTTAAGCGGACGCTCGGGCAGGGTGCTTGCCAGGGAATGACGCCCCCTTCTGGCTGATGCACGTAGCCTTCCCCGGATAAACAGGGTGTTGCGAAGACTCCGGATAAGCATGAATGATGAAAGCAGGGCGTATAATGAAAACGGTAGTCATCAATATTTATGATAGCAGCAGTCGTACCTGAGAACCTGAGTCGCACCTGAGAACCAGTGGCGGCAGTCGTACCTGAGAACCAGCGGTGGCAGTCGTACCTGAGAACCTGGGTCGCACCTGAGAACCTGAGTCTCACCTGAGAACCAGCGGCGGCAGTCGTACCTGAGAACCGGCGACGGCAGTCGTACCTTGAGAACCAGCGGCGACAGTCGTACTTGAGAACCAGCGGTGACAGTCGTGCCTGAGAACCAGCGGTGACAGTCGTACCTGAGAACCGGACGATGCACTGCGTGCGCCGCTCGGCCAGCCCCAGAGGCCGCAGCAGCTCCATGACGTCGGCCTCGTCGGCGTCGCGCGCCGCCCTCGCGTCCGGCCACCGCTCGAAGAACGTCTCCAGCATCGGCAGCGCCTGCCGACCTGGCGACGGCCGACACAGGTCAGCTGAGGTCAAACGTCAGCACAACAAAGGTCAGCCGAGGCCAGGGGCCAGCACATTCGCCCAAGCCGGCCCCAGCGGTGACCGCGTACTACCGACCACCAGCCGCGCCCCCGACTCGTGCCTGCCCCGGTTTCATAGGGTGGAATCCGGGTACGTTATGCACTGCCCTTACCGGCCGTCTTGTTGAGGAAGATGGTGCCGATAAGCAGCTTCCAGGGGTCGTGGTAGTAGGTCTCCTGCATCAGCTTGTAGGGCGAGCGGGGCGGCACCCAGCGGCGGCGGCCGGACAGCGACACTGCCGGGACAGACCCAGCGGTGGGTCAACGGGTCACACTGGGCGGCGGCCGGACAGCGGCGCTGCCGGGACAGACCCAGCGGTGGGTCAACGGGTCACACTGGGCGGCGGTCGGACAGCGGCGCCGCCGGGACAGACCCAGCGGTGGGTCAGTGGGTCATACTGAGCGGTGGACGGACGATGGCGCTGCCGGACAGACCCGTCAGCGGGTCACATTGGGCCGCGACCGGACAGCAGCGCTGCCGGGACAGACCCAGCGGTGAATCAGTGGGTCACACTGAGCGGCGGCCGGCGGCCGGACAGCGGAGCTACCGGGACAAACCCAGCGGTGGGTCAGCGGGTCACACTGAGCGGCGTTCCGGGCAGCGGCGCTGCCGGGACAGACCCAGCGGCGGGTCAGCGGATCTCGCTCGGTGCGACCGTGGGACGCCCCGCATGCAGGCAGGCACGGATGGTACCGGCGATCGCCGCGCCGGTTGGTCCGTGACTCGGCGACCGGCTTTGTATAGTAACAGAGCAATCTCGTGCTAAAGAGACAGGGGAGATCCCAGTACAGGCAGCTTCCAACTATGAGAAGATAGTGGGTCATGATAGATCTCTCCTCTGCTTGGTGGTAAACTTGACGCACAAAGTTAAGAAATACAATGTCAACAGCAGCCCAAAACGAGACCCATCAATATGGCATATTTCACAAACTTTACTTCAACTGCCTCCTTCGAACGGCAGCATTTTGGACCGCGATTAACTGCTGGCAAATGTTAAGCGTTCTCTCGGTCATTACCAGCACTGCCAACTTCTGTCCGACACTTACTGCCAGATCGAGTGAAGATGAGGATCCCTTTGTGAAGGGAACGTGCACTTTGGTTTTATTTAACGGATGGTATCGAGATAGAAAGGCGCTGTAGAAACGCTCTGGCATCGCTTTCCGTTCCAAATCCAGTCGGGTCAAATTTAGCATCGCAATAACCCGACGTTGGGCTGTGACCACATCAGCCATGCTTCCGCCGCGCCGCCGACCACAAAACAAACAAATCTTTCGCACGTGTATTAGCAAATAATTATTGTCACGCCAGTTCCCAACGCACAATCCAGGTGCGCGGACGGCCGCCACCGTCAGCAATCGACGCCCGTCCTCACGCGGCTCACATGATTAATCGCCCTCACGGCTGTCAATAAAGCGGTAAAAGCGCCGCCGCCGGCCCTCAGCTGCGGGCCCGCTGCCAGCTGGAGAGAGGCCGCTTCGACTCACCCTGCACGCGCCCGCCGGCCGCCAGCAGACGCCGCCGCGCGAAGCTGAACTTGAGCTTAATCTTCTGGTTCACGTCGTCGGTGGTCACAGAGGCGGACTTCGGCTTGCGGGGCAGGCCGCGCGCGCGCTTGATGGCCTTGGCGATGCGCGCGCTGTGCGAGTGGGCGTGAGCCGCCGGCCGCGGCGTGGTCGCACCGCGCCGCTTATACGCCATGCCGACCTGCATGTGGGCGTTGAAGCAGAAGAGCTCGGGGTCCAGGTCACTGCCGATCGTCTCCAGGTAGTGGCGCACCTCGTTCTGCGAGCGGAACTTCTTGCCCATTGGACTGTAATGGGACAGGAGTGTTAGGCTGCGCGGGGCGGCGCGGCGGAGACGGCCGGCGTCGGCGGTCTGGCGGCATTGACGGCAGAGCGCCGTGGGTTAACACAATCGTCACGTTTCTTAAATACAAAAGTGTGACACACATGCGACACATGCATGTGTCACACGTTGTCACACGTGTGCGTGTGTAATGTGGAATGTTTCATTCAAGCAAATAAAGAAGACCATCACATTTGGTCAAACTTTGATGAAATCAGCAATACTAACTCGAGAACTAATCTGGTACAATCAGTTCTAGCTCATTCAGCTAAGAATAATGCAACTGAAAAGGTTGAAAATCAGGGCCAATTCGCGAATGCCTCTGCACCAAAAGTCGTGTATCGTCACATCCAGAGGCATGCAACACTGGCTCTATCCACTCTCTCCCTCTATTGTTACATCATCTGGCACCTGCCACTGCCCGGTATGCGTGCTCCTGTCAGCCGGGTAGCTTGCCGCCGACCAAGTCCCGTAGACGACCGCTTGTTGTTTATTGGTGTTTTTGGGTGCGCCAACTGCAGTGGTCATTTGGCGCCCAGTGTGCCCAAAGCACAGTCTGCAGAGCACATATTGGGCATATGAACGTGTCCGACCCTCACTTGTACACGTAGACGTCCCACTTGCCGGCCGAGACACCGGAGGAGCGCTGCACGCACTTGCGGGTCCAGCCCTCGGGCAGCGACGGGTCGTCGAAGTACACCCCATCTGCCGGCCGGACAATGGTACACACCCAGATCAGTCTGGGTACGTGCTGTCTGCCATCCATGCAGCACGCCCGACCCTGAGATCACGCACACACCATCTGCATGTCAAGCTCTCACAGCTTTGGAAGGTGCGCTCGTCAGATCCAACCACTGGTTACACAGCTGGCATGGGTCTGCCCAGCTCCATGGTGGCCTGCTGGCAACATGGACTGCACACAGATGGCACAGATGTGGCACCAGAGCCTGAACTGTACAATGACCCAGCAGCCACATCCCCAGTCTGGTAGCAGAGCTCTACTTAGTCTTGGGCTGGTTGTGCAGTGTGGCCAGCGTACACAGTATGTCAAAGGCACCATGTCTGCCTTTGAGCAGTTGAACCCATGTCACCTTGCAGACAAGAGACCACATGACCTACCCACCCATCTGTCAATCAGGGGTCACGGGCCACCACTCTCCCCCTGTTTGGATGATGCACTCATCTTCTTGCTACTGCTTGGCAAAGCCCCCTATCCCCTGGGCATTAATGGATTGGGTAGGCCTGTCATAAAACTTCCCCAACATTTTGCTTTGATGACTGTGACATTACATGTCAATACTGGAGTTCCAGTTAAAGCATGAGCATGACTGAAATATATACACTTAACAGCAATTAATCATCATTTCCATTTAAACAGCATCATTCAGCCAACAAAAGCTTGAAGCATGCAAATCCATACCTTCTGTGTCAGGTTTACGTGGTACGAAAGTTTCCTTGCTCATGGTGTGATCTGTAAGAAAAAGTTACTTGAAAAACATTGAAATCAGGAATATAACACCCATTGGTAGCTCTACACTCTGCCAACTTACAATGTATCATGTTAGAAGCTACATTGCACTGACTAATACTCAGTAAGGTTTACTGCATATATAGAGGACCCTTTGATATAAAGTATTTCTGCTGCTAGCATCCACAGAAAGCAACACATGTTGCACAAGCCCAGG